TTTTGCTCATAAAATTAATGGAAAATTGTTAAAGATTTAATGGTAAAAATTACATTTCATCAATTACGATCTTTTAAGTTCTTTAAAACAAATTCAGAAATTTGAAGTAGACTTTTGACAATACAGAATGTTGATCGTAGTTGCACGTCTCTAGCCGCTACTATAAAATTGTGATGAAAACTGCTATGTCATCCGCTGTCTTATGCTATAAATCCTTTTAAATTATATTACCTCCGTTCTGTATTTACTGTCCATCTTGATTTTTGAAGTCTTTATTCTTCAACTTTGATATTAAATATTTTTATTTGTATGATAAACTACTTAATGAAACTTATAACAATGAAAAGACATTTAAAACACAATCTATTCATATATTTTGCATCAAGTATTATACATCAAAATCAAAAATATCTAAGATCAAAGTTGAACAATAAAAACTTCAAAAATCAAGAGTGGAAAATAAATATGAGACGGAGAGAGTATGTTTTTTTTTTTGGAAAAAAACTGTTTGTTTCTTGTTTTTGTTGTAAAAATAGCCATTTAGTTATATATATTACCGCCCTAAATACCCATCTTCTTCCTAACTTTCCTCTTCATTATCTGTAACTTGTGTTTCCTCTTATTCAAAAGGAAAAATGATGATATGCTTTGGACTTGAAGACATACATGAAAAAGATTTTTTTGGATTTATCCAACATTTGGGTCCAATAGCAACTTCATTGGATGGGTTGATCCATAATTGTACCCTAGACCAATGGTGATATGTTTTGTACTTCCCTCTAAATGGCCTAGAATGTGTGGAAAGGGGGCTGATTTTGTTACCTATTGTATTGTCTTTTTTTGTTAAAAAATAAAAATCAATGCTTGTAAACCTTTATGACGATGTAATTGTTTAAGTTGTAATGAAATTTGTTTTAAAGTTTATCAAAGTAATAAATTTGGAACTAAGATGAATGGTGTATCAGTATGACTGTATGTAGTATGTGCCTTGAAAACATATGTAGAAGTAGAACCCTATCCTAAAAGGTAACAAAACGACATTCCCTTTCATCAATTTCATTCAAATCCCGAATCAGCACATAATTTGTAATATCATACATAACATAACTATTAACCACAAAATGAAAATATGATACACAAGACCTCATTATGCTACAACTTTAAACCCGAAAAAATAAATAAATAAAACCCTGAACCTTTATCGGTTTATCCTATGTAGTTTTTTTACCCGAAATAAATAGAACAACAAGTACTTTGCTTTCAAAAAAGAAAAAAAAAATCACCTGGGCAGATTTTTGTCACATGTCAAAACTCTATAACTTGCATGGGGCCCTTCAGCCGTATCCCTAACTGCCACACGCCACCCAATGGCCTTCCCGATTTCTTCAAGTTCATCCATAACCGAAACCGAATCACGAATGTACGCACGTCCCCCAGGTCTCAAAATTCTATCCATCTCAACCATTATGCTACTAATATTGCATCTAATAATAATACAAAACATTCACATTAGTCTATTTATTTTCACAATTAACCAAAAAGAAAAATTATGGTGGTGACTAGTAAAGTAGTAAGTACCTTTTTTGCTCAATTGAGAAGAGGCCAGCTGCATGTAACAGATCATATGTTCTTGGGTATGTATCAAATGGCTCACACCTGTCCTTTCAGATAATCAAGATTAGGGAACATGACATATTTATTGAATATTTTACAAGCATTTTATAGTTTTATACCAATCATGCATAACTCCAATGAGTCCACGATCATAGATGACAGGTAATGTATTTGGACCACTAACAGGAACGACATTCATCACCCAACAATCTAGTTGATTGCCGATTAAGGCGGCTGCAAAACTGCAAATTAAAAATGGTATTAATGAAGAGTTATACAAATGAAAGAAAAGTTAAAAAGACGGAAATACCCTCCGTAGCCGGCTCTCATGTCCATCACGTTTCTAAGTTTGTATGTATTCCAGCGTAAAGCTCGTACATAGCTTTCTATTATTTCTTTCCAGTATTTTGATTCCGCTTTAAAAAGATCATTTCTTGACACGTAGGCATCAAGTTTTAAGCTTTGGAGTCTTGCGGGTGGATTATTTAATCGATCGGGCCAATCGGTAATATTTGCTCCGGATCCATCTTCTGGTAGTCGAGAAATACATGGCTTTAAGTCAACATACCTTAAAGTCAAAATAAGTAACCATGGTCAGGTCAACTTTGATCTTGATCAAGAAAAAAAAAAAAAAAAAAAAAAGAGAAAAGAAAAATACCAAACATCGTCTGGATCGTCTTTTTTATCACATAATGGTGGTAGGGTCCCCAATTCGCGACTTAAATAGCAAGTGTTGTTAAGTGGTTTTTGCCATATAGCAATGTACCCCTCTTTCTTCACAAGATTCCAGCATAGACGAGTTGTAAGGTTCATCATCTCTGTGAGTATGTATAAAAATGAAATTAAACAAAAAAAAGATAAGACAAAATTTCACAATTTGATAAAGTTTATAATATTATTACCTTCCCATTGTTCTTCAAGAAGTGGTTCGTGTTTATAAACAGGCTGTGCTGCCCAAGCAAAATACCCTCCTGATCTCAGCAATCTGTTGACCTCAAGTAGCAAAATCCCATCTTCATCATGGAATGTAAACAAGTGAAAGAAATTAAAGTATGCCCAGATTGATTGTTATTCAATAAGAGAAATGAATTCATTACCATCACGTGTCCAATTGACTCTACATCTTGAGCAATGAATCAAGTCAAAAGCTTGACTTGGATATAAAAGTCGCCTTGTTGCAAAAGCTGCTATCATTGCAGGGACACCACGTTCAAGTGCAAATTGGATCTGGTTCTCATGTACATCTTTTGGGGCAACAGACATGGTGAGTACATTTCTTGAATATAGATATGCACCAAAACTTGCTACACCACATCCAACATCTAATGCAACACGGGTATGATTTCCAAATGCAATTTCAGGGATCATCTATACATATATACCAGTCTGTTAATTTTCATTATAAATAATGTCAATTTGGCAATAGGAAGATGAAACAAGAGTGGGATTTGTTTATTGTTATTATACCTGTGAAATTTGATCCAAGTACTGGTCTGCACCATGAATGAACTGTGTGCCACCTCCAGGAAACTTAAATTTATCCTTGTCTACAGTGATCCAGTTTTGACCACCCTTGTATTCAGCAAGCTGTGCATGTGGGACATTACTGTACCACACCTGTATTCAAGTGCAAAACAGACGAATATCCTTCATAAGCATTGAGCATAAACAAAAAGAAGATGGAAACAGAAACAGAAACAGAGATCGCATGTGAAATTGTATTTAGATTCACAGCATGTTATGCAAATCAGAAAACGAACGAATAAGATTACCTCATCACGACTTGTTGGCCAAGGAATGGGGGCTTTGTAACCCTTGGGAGGTGGTACCAAGCAATTCAATCCCTTATCTTTCTCAGGGCAATGTCGCTCGAATCTCTCCCCTTTCTCAGTTGATTTCAACTCCTTAATCGCATCCTCATTGTCCAAACATGGTATATACTCCCTCATACTCACCGGACAAGTCTCAAACTTTAGAACCCTAACAGTCCCTTTATCATCTTCCACCACTTTCGTTTCGTTATTACGGTTCTCTACCACATCGGGATCATACTCCCCTACCTCAAACTCATCCCTCATCACCCCATTCTCATCCACTACACCTAGCCTCTGCACCGCCGGCGGAGGCGGAGGCGGCGGAGAAAGCAATGGTTGTGGTGGAATTGCAGGTAACGTATGATCTGCTACTGTTTCTACCTCTTTTGTGTCGTTGATTAAAGACTTGATATCAAAGCTTTTGTTATAGTTTGGCGAAATTGAAATCGAAGGGATTTTTCCATTTGTGTTGGAGTTCGAACTGAAAAAGATCAATTGCTGATAAGTATCATCGGACCAATGCTTACCTAAGTAGAAAAAAGCTAGCGCGACGAAGGCAAATCCAGCAGTTTTCACAAAAATTGGCGATTTTAACGAACCAAATCCCTTCATCTTTGTAAGCATTATCCTCAGATCTAAGCCCCTCCCCTACCTGTGAGTTTAATACATGTAAACGTAAACTAAAAGCTCAAAGATCTATGCGTGTGATGAACGCTTTTTGGTCAACATAATCTAGAGCTTCGACTGTGCCATCAATTCAGTGAAGTGTTGAAGTCGCTTTCCCTCTCTTTCTCTCTCTCCTTCTGTATAATATTTGTATATATATTTCTGTGTCAATGGTCAATGAAGTGCCTTAAACGACGCCTGAATGTATGTATAGGTGTCTGTGCATATGTGATTTTGATCCCGCAGCGTAGCTCTCTGTGTAGTGCCAGGAAGACGAAGTCGAATGGCGAATGAATCCGCTGGGTGCATCAACATTAAGAAGATCGCATCTAGATTAGCTAAAAACAAACTAATCATAATTATTAATTATCAACTAGATTTATACATCGTGGACCCCGAAACTCTTACTACTCCTCATTTAAGGCCCTTTAGTTTATTGCTTAGGCCTTAGGACTTAGGAGTGTTTAAAAAAATAATACTATAATTAAATAATTGGTTTATTAAAGTAGATGAAAATAACTTCATATTAACCTCAATAATTAATTACATATTTTTCTTCACATTTTATTATTTTGATTGTATATATTGAAAATCAGTTTTTATTATTACTTGTTCAAGTAACATCTTTGCATTCATTCAAACATCCTTTAGTCTTTTTATTTAGTTATACAGTTTTTTTAGGTTTTTAAATGGTTTCGATTAGGTTGGTTGAAGATCCATCTCTAAATATTATTAAAAGAGAACCTTAAATTATAAAATGAAGAAACAAGGGCTCTTGATTATATTTCACTCCTTTAGTCTCCACCTAGGATCATTTTGTTGACATCATCCTAAGTCAAAATATACACGCGCCTCAGAATAAAACTTCCTTCTTACAATTCATTCCTAATTTCATTCTTAGGTTTTCTCTCCACACAATCAGCCAAGAGCTATCGACATCCCCATGAGACTCAATAGATATGATCCCTAACCCCTTCCTTCAATCGATACGCGTAACCCCATCGATTTCATATATACATCGAATCGATCCTATGTGTTCTTCCTCTGTTGAAACAACTTGTCTACAGGAACTTATTTTCTTCTTCTTTTTCTCTTTCTTTCTCCAATCCATCAATGGATGTAGATGTGATCGATTGGAAGGATCCTCTTGTTGATGATGAAGCTTGGTTCTACCGCCCTGGTGTTTTTTTTTTCTTCTGTTCTTATCATATGCAATGGATTGATCCATTGATTTAATGTTAATTTATTGGATTCCATTGCTTGAAATTACTATATTCTTACAGGTTTTAAGTTTTATGTCATGGATTAAGTTTTCTTAGATTTGATGATGTTTCTCATAAGTCTAATTTTTGCAAATTCGTTCATCTGGTAACTAATCCCATGATCGAATACACATATATCATTGGTCATGTATTAATTGTCATATACTTTGTTACTTTTTACTCTCGGAGAATATTTTTATGGTTGTTGCATTGACAAATTAATGTCATTACTAGCTTATATCAGTGTGAAATTCCCATCTTGTAGATCTACCACTCTGTTTGAAGATACCAACTTTTAGAAGATAAGCAATTTATGTCATTACTTTCTTTTTGCAGGTAGTTCAAAGACTGGCAAGCACGGACAAGCCAAATGTCATTTTGTTGCCATTGATATCTTCAATGGAAAGAAGCTTGAAGATATCGTTCCCTCTTCCCACAATTGTGATTTATGTTTTATGAATTTTACAACATATTTTTCATCTTTTCTTTGTTTGTGCTTTTATATTTTATAAGGAATATAATATTTTCTTGGGTTTCAGGTTCCACATGTCAACCGTGCTGACTACCAACTAATTGACATTTATGAAGATGGATTCGTATATGTCACTTATCTTAATCATTTCCCCTTTTACTTTCTTTGGTTTATATTTTGTGTGTATTTTATAAAAAAATAGATTTATTATAGGTGAGTCTGTTGACTGAAAATGGTGGCACTAAGGATGACCTCAAGCTTCCAACCGATGATAGTCTGCTTATACAGGTTAGTAATTAGTAATTAAACATGGAAAGTTCACTTGAAAATTTTAAAATATAATTTATATAAATAATAAATTTTGTTTAAAAATTGTGCAGATTAAGGATGGATTTGTTGAAGGAAAGGATCTTGTTGTTACAGTGATCTCACTCAGCTATGCTATACTAGGTGATTCGATTGCAGAGAATAATCTGATAAGATTATTTAGATTATGCATTTTTTTTTATTTGAACATTCGACTCTTCTAAGCCTGCTCATGGTTTTGGAATTGTTTTTTTTGTAATTTATTTTTTAATCGTATTTTGTTTTTTTTCAGTAAATGCATACATAATATGACAAAATAAATAAGCTTTAAAATAGATTATCCATTGTAGATGCTCCTTTAAGCCGCTTACAACATATCAATTAACAAACTGACCCCCTTTTTTTCTTGAATGATAATTTTCACCACCCAACACTTATTCCAAAACCATTCACCACTTTTCAAGATTCCAAATACCAATTACAGAATTCAAAAAATTACAAGAGAGTATTACCTATATTTAATATTTTCAAATAAACACAATTTATACTCTAAATCTTCCAATTCATATCATCACACACACAAAACTATAAAGCCAATAATGGCTTCCAAAATCTTGAAAAAAAACAGTCAACAGTCATCTTCCGGCTAGCCTCCTGCTTCTTCTCAATCCTTTTGATGGTGTTTGGTCAATAAATCTTTCAAGGCTCTGAATCTGATAATGTTCTTCTTCATAATCACTTGCATCATCTAAAATCCATCAAGTTCCACCATTAGAAGGATACACAGGATCCCCCCCCCCCCTCTCCCTCTCCTCTTTGTTACCGGACATCATACACAAATATTAAAAATATATATATATATATATAATTTTCCTTCTCTTTTTTCTTATTATAATTTATAAACCAACAATTGTAATATAGAAAAATATTTTTAATATTTATTACCTCCATGACATGTCCATAAGATCACTAGAACCTTCCACAACATCTCTTCTACCAAATCTACTCGATCTTGCAGAATTTGTAAGGTCATTTTGGTCATTTTGAAGAAGATGATGCTTGTTCTTCCGAATTCTTGAAGAGCCTATGTTAGACTCTTTTAATGGTGTTGTATTAGCAGTGTTTGTATCATCAAATTTGAAGCTTTTACTGATGGATTTAAGCATTCTCATTTGTGACATCCCCTAATTTCTCGGCCAGAAAATACCGATTTAATTTATGCTTTTTAAAATAAAATCAGAGAAATCTTTTCAAAAGATGTTGTGGAATTGGTCCCCAAACAACATATGATAAAAGTTTATCAAAACCCTTCATTAAGAAGGTATATATTTTCCATATATATCAAAACCTCGGGATGTCATGTTCCGATACAGATCAAAAGCATAAACAAGACATTATAAGCCTTACTACAGTTATTTACAACTACTGGCCTATAATCCAAAAATCTCACGTCATCCTCCGACTATGCTCGGGGTCCACTACCTGTAATCATAAAAAAACTGAGTGGGTCAGGCTTGGGAGCCTGGTGAGCATATAGGGTTTTAAACCCACAATAATAATAAACTTATTAAATTCATCAATCAATAATAACCCTGATTACCCGTTCCCGTTATCCTCACTTTACGTCCCTAAACACTTTTCACAAGGGACCTAGCCTAAAGAATATCATCGGGATGGACACTACTGCTAAGGGGTTTCCTTAGCCATACATGTCCTAAAGGCAACCATGAGGGGGATTGGAGTACAGCGAATAAACACCCAAGTTCATTAACACCTACAGGTTGCGGACCTGCTAATGTTTCCCACTGGACTGTCTAGAAAGTCCGTGGTCGTCATCCAAACTCCGCTAGATGACTGAATCACAAATCACATCGAGGCCTCTCATCACTTTTATTTTATCACACATCACTATCTACCCATGTTCTACCCAACATATTTGTAGATAAAAATACTTATACAGTTTAAAACTTGTATAAAACATCAACTCAACAGTCACCTCAAATAAACAATTAATATATTTACACATAGCACGTATTATAAGGTAAATACTTCATATCTATGTGTAAAATGAAAGTGACTATACACTCACTTGATTTAATGAAAATCGGGCAGCAATTCGTTTCCTAAAAACGATCGTTTCTAATAAAACCGGGAGTTTTATTCAGAAACCGGGCTCTGCGAGGGTCGGGCTTCGAAACCGAAAAGATAAATTTTTCGGGCTTCTCGGGCTCTTCGTGGCGTATTCCGGGGGTTATGATCGATACCGGGGCTTTGGGGGATGCTAAGATGAAGAAAATATGAAGAAAGGGGCTAAATATGGCAAAATTCCAAATCTAACCGGGAAGGCTCGCATACCCCTTCTATTTATAGGGATCCGAAGTCGGTTCCGGTGGTGGGGTCCGCAGGCGAGGGTCCACAGGTGGCTGCACGTGGGCTGCGCATGCGAGGCCTCGGTGTCGCCTCCTGATTGGACCGCGGCCTAGGGTCCGAAGCAGCGAAGAAAGAACGTGTTACCATCTGCGAGGTTCGGAGGCTAAGGCGGTGCGAGGCTCGGACCAGCTGCGAGCTTCGGATTGGGCCTCCCTTCGGTCGAATCAGAATCCGACACGCGGCTACTGTTCATGCGAGGGAAGGCGACACGTGGCTCGCATGACTCACCAATTTCGGACACGTGGCACTCTTTCAGCGAAGGTGACGTGGCCGAAGCCACCTATGCGAAATTTCTCGGTTTTCGCGCCAAAACTTCTAAAATCCATAACTTTCGCATACGAGCTTCGTTTTTGACGTTCTTTATATGCACGCGTAGGTAAAATTACGCTCTACAACTTTCGTTTAGACTTCGTTGGCTAATTTTGAATTTAATTTTTATATTATTATTTTTAACAGACCGGGACATGAAATCCGTTAAAAATTCATAACTTCTTCATCCGACGTCCGTTTTCGTCATACTTTTTACCGTTGTGCTACTAATGACGAGACCTTCGATTCTCGTTTAGGTCGTGTCGGCTAAAACTCACTCGATCTAAAATTCGAGTTTTTAGCTGTCTACTGCTAAGCTGAAACTTTGAAAAATCATAACTTCCTCATACGAAGTCAGATTTGGGCGTTCTTTTTATACTTACTCTCGGTTTAACGAACACTACGAGTTTCGTTTAGATCACTAAGGCCAAAAAGTAGTTTATCGAAAACTCACTTTTTACGACATTCGGCCCCGTGCCGGTTTGTCGCGAAAGTTCGACAAGTCATAACTTCTTCGTTATAACTCGGATTTCGGCATTCTTTATATATCCGTAATCCTTGTCACGCCCACTACAAGTTTCTTAATAGATATCGGCTTTATCTAAAATTTAATTTTTGACGCTCATTTTTATTCTTAATTAATTAAGCCCTAATAATTAAGCATAAAACACATAATATTCACATAATTCCTTTTCATTTCTTCAAAATGAGTTACAAAGGTTAACCTAGACTATAATGTTAATATTAATGCCTAGCCTAGAAACACGGGCATTACATCATTCCTCTTTCTCTTTCTCTTTCTCTTTCTGTATCACTATTCCCTTGAGGGGTACCATATTTCTCTTTCTGTATCACTATTCCTGTAACACCCATAAAATTCCAGCCAAATTAAAACTTTTTAATATATTTTAAAACCATCAAGTTATTATAGTTTGTTTTCAAAATGGTTTAGACATCAGAGTATCCCCAGAATCAATTCATAAAACGATAAAATAAGAGGAGCTGTACGATCACGCCTTTGCCTTCCTGCATTCATCTGATGTACCTGAAACAATAAACTGAAACTGTAAGCCCGAGAGCTTAGTGAGTTACCCCCAAAATACCAACCTCAAATAACCATAATCATATCATATCAACAAATACAGAACATCATACATAATGAGTCGTCAGCCTGATTGGACCGCCTCACAGGCCTTTAGTATATCTGGACTGCTCTCCGAGCCTTCGGCACGTCTGGACCGCCTCGCAGGGCCTACAGCCTATCCGGACCGCTCGCCGGGTATGTTGGCCTACAGCACAAAGCAGGACCGCCTCAATCCAACCCCCAATCAAACAAACATGTGCACATAAATATCATACGCTAGCTCATTTCATATAACAGTCAAACCGATCTAACAGATCACCAATCATAACAACATCCCAATAACCGGGATACAGACCTAACCGGTCACTAACATAGCATCATCCTATAACCAGGACAATCATGTGCACATAGACATCATATAACACTAGCATGTATATATATAACAGTCAAATCGATCTAACAGATCACAAAGCATGGCAACAATCCTATAACCAGGATATCGACCTAACAGGTCACTAACATAGCATATCACCATCCTAACTACCAGGGTATAAATCAGTAAGCATAACATGCAATAATCCGAATACAATCCATAAAGGGCCGGCCTTGGTGCCTTAGACCCTGTTGATATAGTGAGGAGAACTCACCTGGCACTGCTGAAGTCCCGCGGATAAAACTCCAACTACTGGTTGACAGCTTCCCGGACTGTCAACATCAAACAACACCCAATTAATAATTGGGTTCCAAGCCCAAAGTCCAACTCACACTACAAAACCCAATAGTCAAGTAATGGGCCAAAGCCCAACACATGGCCTAATTTTTCAAATTGGACCCAACCCTTCACATGGGCCTTACCCCTTAGGCCCAACCATCCCTCCTGTTCCAAACACTTGGCATACTAATGGCCCAATCTCTCATAACCATAAAGGCCCAGTTATGGCCCATCTATGGCCCAATTTTCCAAATGGGGCCCCAGTCCTCACATGGGCCTTATCCTAAATCCCATCTAATTATTTTGGTCCATTAGCTTGTTCTTGGATAGCCCATCAATAGTCCAATCGCTAAGCCCAATAGGAAGGCCCAACTCTAGGCCCAAGTGAAAATAGGGCTTTCACATGAAATGATGATTAGGGTTAAGTGTTTCTTACTTAACCCATTAAGGACTTAATCCATTAAGGACTTAATTCATTAAGTCCATTATTGTCTTAAGTTAGTTTGCCAATGATTATTATTTAATATCTCAAGTTATTAAATAATCTCGTGTGTGTCCCGGTAAATTCTCAAAATTAAGGTTTTAAGCCATTAAGATTTTCCAAACCCAAATTAGGGTTTCCTACCCAATACTAGCCCATTCGTCAACAGGTTGGGCTTTTAGGTCACTTTGGGCCTCATTGGGCCCATTAAGATTTTATTAAGTCAATTAGGGCTTTATTGGGCCCCATTAAGCCCACTAGAGTTTCATTAATCCCATTAGGGTTTCAAGCATCCCAACGAATCAATACCACAATGCAAAGCACACCGCCACCCGACACGGCGGCCGGTGGCGGTAGGAGACGGCAGCCACCACCTCACGGTGGTGGTTAGGGTTTTCTTTTCCATTATTTCACTTTGGTTACAAATTACAATATTACCCTCTTAACACACACAACCAATAAAACACATACTAATTACACACACACAGTCGCACCGTGGCGGCCGGTGGTGGTAGAGGGTGGCAGCCCTAGCTTTTCAGCCTCACAAAACACACACACCCACATCCGGTATCAAAATATACTCCAGCCACCCACCTGGCGGCAACAACAGCGATAACAGCTTATTAGAGGCGGCAGCCACCATCTTATAGTGGTGGTGGTGGCCTTCTTGTGAAATTCGGCCAAAAACCACAGCCAAAACCACATACACACGTCCTTCTGTTGCGAGAAAGCTCAGCCACCCACCTGGTGGCGCGTGATGATGGAAACAACGACCCTAATGGCCGCAACCAAGACTAACGGCGGCGGCGGACGGTTGCATCATTGGGACCCAACAACAACTAATTCGACTGGTCCTTCCCACGACCCCAGCATCAGCTCGAACCCTCGTCTCGAGGTCTCCAGTGCCCCACGGGAATTCCTCTGCTGTTCACGATGTCCAACAGTGGCGGTGGGGTACCGCGAACCATGAGCAACAGCAACGATGGCATGAACGGAAACCTCCCGGCTGAAGCAACGCCCTAGCGGTGGTCTGCGTCCTCGGCCACAGGAGACGGTGGCTGAATGTCTCCAACGATGGGCACAGTGGCGGCGGCAACACACGTAAATGGGTTTCCCGGCGGTCCTCAATGCCACCATCAAGAGTTTTGCGGTGGTTTGCGACTTCGACTACAGTGGGGAGGGGAAGGGGGTGTAGCACTGTCGGAGATCGGAGAAAAGAGGAGTGATGGCGGCTGGAGGGACTGGAGGCGTGGAAGGTGGCGGCCGCAACAAGCTATTAGGGTTAGGGTTTAGGTTACGGGGTGGCGACGGCTTTATACCCTCTACATCCAAACTTTGGCCCATAATGCCACTCTTAGTCCCTCCTTCCTTATTTTCTTTCAAATAAATCCTTAATTTACCATTTAAACCCTCACTCCCTTAATTCTTTCCAATATAATCCCAATAGTTACAAAACAATCCCTCCTCTACAAATTATTCTCAATTAAGATCCATAAATTACCATTTCCACCCTGGCTTCAAGAACCCTTCCCAGGATAAGTCCGATATTTACTTTTTATCCCTCGAAAATCAAAAGTTAATCATTTGCTCCCCGAAACCAATACCCCACTAATTATTATCTGATTTTGGACTATAATAACATATAATAATAATAATAATCGCTTCTCGGGGTTCCGGGTTTATTATAAAATTATTATATTTTAAATGGGATGTTACAATTCCCTTGATGGTAAATTGATTTTTCCATGCTTCTACCTAATTTCTGTCCTAATTGATTGAATTGCCCAATTTGCTTTGTTCTTTATATTCTTCATCTCTTTCTGTTACATGCTAGATAGAGTTTTTTTCTTATTTTTTTGTGGATTATGGTTGTAAATATTTTATGTTATTAGGTTTGCTTTTGACTCTTATTCTATGTTTTAATCTCTTTTTTCACACTCAAAAAGTGTGTGTGCATGTAGCTTGATAAAATACGGTACTCCTTGAGAAAAGATTGAATATCTAATTCTTCATCTTCTAGATATGAATCACAAAAACCAGTTCCCCTTCCACTGATGGCCAACAAGTAATAAAATTACTTATATACCTTTTGTTCTAAGCATTACTTGCTTAACTATATTCAGAGTGTGAAATGTATGCATATACCTGTAGCTTGACAAAATATGGTACACCTTCATGTTTATATTTTCTTCTGATTTGATCAAAATTATCAAATGCTGTTTTTCTTTTATAAATTGTTGGTCCGTGTCATTGAAATTGTCACCCATATAGCTTCTACCGTTCTGCACCATCAAAGTTCCCAAAAAAATGTGTTGTACTTTGCATAGCACGTAAAAAGATCACAAATTTTATAAAAAATGATGGCTTTATGAAATTGTTTCACATTTGAACTTTACCTTTACTCGGTCACAAGAATTTGTGAAAGAGTGGCTGATATTAAAACTTGAGTTCAAGCCATGAAATGTCTAACCACTTTCTCAGAGGTTGTGGGCCCAGGTTTTATCTTCGAAAGGGTAAGTAAGTTTATCAAGTTGTGTGTTATTCCAATTCAATAATCTGACATTAAATATGTTTAATTTGTTTATTTTGTAGATGTTCAAGATAATGAAAGAGCACAATAACTTTCCAATTTCAAGATTTTGTTTTATCTTGTACTTCAATTACCAGGTTCAATAATGTTAGGTTTAGTGAAGAGTTGCATTGGCAAAAAATTCACAAGTGAATTTGGGGATCTAATTGCAGTAAGTATTATTTTTATCCCCCCCACCCCCACCCCCCATGTTTTTAGTTAAACTAATCACAATTTCAGCAACTATATAAATATATTTTTTATCTATTTGTATTGAAAAGGCTCATATATTTTCTTGTATAATCACAAAAATGACCAAAATAGGTGGTTTCATTTGACAAATTGGCGACCGTTTTAACCTTTTAACAAAATGACCATCAAATTCGCAATTGGTCAATTGCAAATCATGAAATTGCTTTATCAATGGTCCCCACCATCGATTTTGGTCATTTTTGTGATTATATTTCCTAATATTAATAATATTTATTAGTTTTTTTATAGGACATAGCACTTGATGCAACAACAGTTGGTGTTGATCTAGGCCAGGGACTAAGAGAAGTAGACATAAAAATACATCAAAGTTGAAAAAATCCTAGGAAGGCAATTAAAAGATTCCAAAGTCCTAAAAGGTGTTATGTTCAACAAAGACGTTGTCTTCCCTGGAAAAATGTAAAGAAAAATCATAAACCCACGTGTCACTTTACTCGATTGCCCTCTTGAGTACAAAAAAGGAGAGAATCAAACAAACACAGAGTTAGTCCGAGAAGAAGACTAGACGGTTTTGTTAAAAATGGAAGAAGATTATATCATGAATTTATGCGCTCAAATACTCAAATTTAAGACTGATTTGGTAATTATATAAAATGGACTTAGTGATTTAGTGTGTCATTATTTAAGAAAAACGGGAATTAGTGCAATTAGGAGATTAAGGAAAATTGATAATAACAGGATTGGAAAGGCATGTGGGGCTGTTATTGTAAATAGGCCAGATGAACTTCAAGAATCTGATGTGGGAACTGGAGCTGGACTTTTTGAAGTGAAAAAGATCGGTGATGAGTTTTTTGCTTATATTGTTGATTGTCAAGATCCGAAAGCGTGCACTACTCTTCTTAGAGGTGCTAGGAAGGATCTTTTAAATCAAGTAGAGAGAATTTTACAGGTTGGTATTTGACTTTTTAGTTTTTTTTCCAAAAATAAATTTGGTATGATGGAATGAAATTAAAAAGAATGGAATGAACAAATAGGATGCAATGTTAGTGGCCTTATGAAGCTGCAGCAGTGGCATTTGAGGCAATACACCGAACCTTGGCACAAAACTGTGGTGGCATTGTCATTAGAGCAATGACTTCTCTTCATGGAAATGCAAGAAATATTTTCTAATTTACATTTTGGTCCCCATTTATAGTTGTTTTTGCAATTTTAGTCCCAATAAGTTTTCTCTTGCAATTTTGGTCATTATTTGAGGGTTTTGTAATCTTTTTGATCCATGTTCCAAGTAAAATGACTTTGTTCAACTTACTTTTACAATTCTGGTCCTTATTTAAGGGTTCATAACATTTTTGGTCCATGTTCCAAGTAAACTAACTTACTGTGGTCCATGAATATGCCTAATTTTTTCCATTTTGGTCCCAATTTTTTACTCATTTACTCATACTACTTGGAACTTAGACCAATAACGTTAAGAGAACCTTATATAAGGGCCAAAATTGCAAATAAAACTTTTTGGGACCAAATTTGCAACAATCAACTATACTTAGGGGCTGTTTGGTAGGATCTGAATTTTTAAGGTCTGAAATTTTAAGAGATCTGAATTTCTAAGAGGGTCTGAAATTTTAAGATCTGAATTTTTAATATGTTGTTTGGTTGGAACCTCTGAATTGTTGTGCTGAATGAGAAAAATGACCATTATACCCTTATGTATCATTTCTTTCAATTACAACATTATATTTTTAACCTTTTCTTTATTAAGACAACATACTTTGGAAGTATAATGCTACTTCTTGTTACAGCATTCTGACCATGTTGCACAACATTAGTATCATAGTTTAACAATAGATTATCTAGATATGAATGCAAAATAAAGTGCAAGCATGTAAGGTACAAGGAAATACATGGCTCAAACAAGAATATTGATATCCAAATCTAAACAATGATCCTAATAAACAATAAAAGAGACAACTAAACAATTTGGTTCAGTACAGATCCACATTCCAATCATAAGAGCTTCGTCTTCTTGGCATAATCATCAACTATGTTTTATCACTACAATCTAAAGAGGAAAAAGCTTTTTTTGAATTAAAAAAAATCTCCTGAATTTGATTGAGAAACAAAGACTATAACTGTAATATAATCTTGAAAGTGTCTTCTTACACTTCCCTCGATTAATTAACCAAAACCCCAGACAAATCCAAAAGAAGGCTACAGCTCTAGAAAAATACATCTACAACTCTGATAATCAAGTTTTAGGGCATCTGATTTTAGGAATAAAAAAAGTAAACAACATCTATATGAATTGATAATCGATTTTTAGGGCAAGAAAGAAAAAACCTTACCTAGAATGGGCAATGGACTAACCACACACTGCTGAACGTTGGCTTGAAAACCAGATAAGATATGGACATCTGTTGTGTTCGAACCTTAAAAACTTGTTGAATCGAACGACAGGAAGAGAAATCGAAGTTTGAAGATCGAACAATAGATGGAACGGAATTGAAGGAGGGAGGCGGCAACGGTACTAACGGAAGAAGGCAGCGACAGAACTGGCAAACGGAGGCGAAGATGGAATTGGCGGACAGAGGCGGCGACGATAATTGTGGACGGCGACGGTGACGACATGAGGATGGAGTCGGTTGAAGCTTTGAGCGAAGGAGACATGTAAAAGGGCTTTGGCAAAGGGGCAAGAGAGGAAACACGTTCATTTTTTTTCTTTCAGATGTATCTCCGTCTCTGAATTTTTAAGAGGATTTAAAAAAATTAAGAGGTTTTTTTTAAGAGCCTAACAAACAGTCTATATCTAAAAATTTAAGAGGGTGCCTCTTAATTTTCTAATTAAGAGGCAAACAAACGGCCCCTTAGGGACAAAAAATAAATCATAAGGTTCTTAGTGATGGTCTATTTGGCATGGTGTGTGCAGTTGAAGACTTTGGTTTTAGACACCTTAAATTAAAAGCTTTAATTGACTTTATTTGCTACTAGAAATTCCACCATTAAACTTATTGGCGCATTACACAAATTTGTTGGTCCTGATATCAAAACATTCTTGTCGGATGTCAAGCCTGCCTTCTTAGTGTGGTAGAGTCAGAGTGTGAAAAAATCCTTTTGAGGTTTGGCTGTTTGACCATGTTTGCTTTTTCTGCTCTTTTTTATATAAAATGTTAGGTATTTAATTGTTATTTCCATCAGGGGGCGGTTGCATGGGTTGCAACCATCGCTTCAGTGAAACTGGCAACTTTTGTTGTCCTTACTATGTCTATCAAGACCACGATGATCGAGACTTATGATGAGCGGTACGCTGCTCTTACTGATGTTGTTGTTGCTGTGGCCACCGCAGCCGTCGCTGCTGCCAGGCCACAGGGGGGTGACTCGTTGCTATACCGAGAGTTCAGCAACACGAAGCCACCAGAGTTTGATGGGACGCAGGACCCGATTGCTGCGATGAGGTGGATTTCTGATATCGAGGGATGCTTCTACACCTGCTCGTGTCCGGAGCATCTGAGGGTTCGGTTTGCGCTGAACCAGCTTCGCTTGGGAGCGAAGGACTGGTGGAAGTTTGTGACGGCAGACTTTACTACGGCCGAGCTTACTGTGGTGACCTGGGAGAGGTTCACCATGATGTTTCGAGATGAGTATGTTCCCCCTGTGGAGAGGGAACGTCTAGCCCAGGAGTTCATATCCCTCAAGTAGGGAAATGAGTCTGTGAAGGTGATTACGAGGATGTTTCATGAGAGGGCGTTGTTTTGCCCTGAGCACGTGTCGACTGAGCAGGCACGTATGAGCCGGTACTTGAGCATACTGAGGAGGGATATCCGTGAGTTCGTGGCGAACTCGTCATACCGGACATTTGCCGAGCTCCAGGCAAATGCCCGGAAGAGAGAGATTGAGCTGGAGACTCAGGTCAGGGAGGAGGCCGAGTCTCAGAGGAGGGACAGGCGACCGGCACAGACGCAGCCGACAGCCAAGCGGGCAAAGCCCGCTGATTCGAGATCTGGGGGTCCGAAGGGCCGCACTTGTGGGAAGTGCGGCAAGAGTCACGAGGGGGTGTGCAGAGCTGGGGTGTGTTACAAGTGTGGGAAGGAGGGGCATTACGCGAGGGATTGCCCCAAGGGATTCTCGGTTTGCTTTCATTGCAACCAGACCGGCCATCGAAAGGCCGAGTGCCCTCAGCTACTACAGGGATCAGCATAGGGATCTGTACCTGCTGCTAGAGCTACCGAGGTCCGGCCAGTGAAGGCCGAGGCACCGAAGGCTCGCGGGAGAGCCTTCCAGTTGACAGCGGAAGAGGTCCGTGCAGCGCCCGATGTCATGGTCGGTATGTATTCTTTTACTTACTTATTTGGAGTTTGAGATTTTGTGCTTATATTGTGGTATGCTTAGGTACTTTTCTTGTGAGTTCTGTACCTGCGTTGGTGTTATTTGACTCGGGTGCGAGTCGATCTTTCGTGTCATTAGCATTTAGTCAGCACATCAGTGTTCAGCGAGAGGCGTTGAGTCGACCTCTACGAGTTTCTATAGCCGACGAGCGAGTGGTGTATGCTACTGATGTGATCAGAGGATGTGTACTCGAGATCTTCGGCGTTGAGTTTCCGATTGATTTGGTCCCGATTGCGATGGGAGATGTTTGTGTCATCGTGGGCATGGACGGGTTGAGCAGGTTTGGAGCGGTTACCGACTGCGAGCGACAGTTGGTGACCATACAAGACCCTAGTGGGGGAGTTCTTACGGTTTATGGCGAGGGTACCCGTTCCGGGTCAGCATTTTGTTCGGCCGCTAGAGCGAGGCAGAGTCTACAGCAGGGCTGTAGTGGGTTTGTGGCTTATGTGGTGGATACGAGAGTAGATGCGGAGAAACCGAGGTCGGTTGATGAGGTCCCGATAGTGCGAGAGTTCCCGGATGTTTTCCCCGATGAGTTGTCGGGTGTGCCTCCCGAGAGGCAGGTGGAGTTCCGTATCGATTTGGTTCCGGGGGCAGCGCCTATCGCCAAGGCGCCCTATCGCCTTGCGCCACCAGAAATGCAGGAGTTATCCTCACAGCTGCAGGAGCTGCTGGGGAAGGGGTTTATTCGGCCGAGTAGCTCACCGTGGGGAGCGTCGATCCTTTTTGTCAAGAAAAAGGATGGTTCACACCGGATGTGCATTGATTACCGGGAGTTGAACAAGTTAACGGTCAAGAACCGTTACCCACTGCCAAGGATTGATGATCTGTTCGATCAGTTGCAGGGAGCGTCTTGGTTCTCCAAGATTGATCTAAGGTCTGGATATCATCAGATGAGAGTGCGTGATGAGGATATCCAGAAGACGACGTTCAGGACTCGTTATGGGCATTACGAGTTCGTGGTGATGCCTTTCGGGCTCACCAATGCACCGGCAGCGTTCATGGATCTCATGAACAGGGTGTGTAGGCCGATGTTGGATCGATCGGTGATCGTGTTCATCGATGACATATTGGTGTATTCGAGATCCAGAGAGCAGCATGAGGAGCATTTGAGGGAGATCCTCGGAGTTTTGAGATCGGAGAGGCTTTACGCCCAATTCTCCAAGTGTGATTTCTGGTTGCGAGAGGTCCAGTTCTTGGGGCATCTCTTCAATCAGAAGGGGATATTGGTCGATCCGGCCAAGATTGAGGTAGTGATGAGTTGGGAGGTGCCGAGATCTCCCACCGAGATCAGGAGTTTTCTGGGGTTGGCCGGCTACTATCGGATATTTATCAAGGATTTCTCCAAGATCACCGTGCCTCTCACCAGGTTGACCCGGAAGGGCGTTACTTTTTTCGTGGGGTCCGGAGCAGCAGGCCTCGTTTGAGACACTTCGCCAGAGGTTATGCGAAGCCCCGGTGTTAGCCCTCCCGGAAGGGATGGAGGAGTTTGTGGTGTATTGTGACGCATCGATATCGGGGTTGGGTGCGGTGCTTATGCAGAGGGGGCATGTGATAGCTTATGCATCGAGGCAACTGAAGCCTCATGAGACGAGGTATCCCACCCACGATCTGGAGTTGGGGGCAGTGGTGTTCGCCCTCAAGATCTGGCGCCATTACCTGTATGGGGTTCGGTGTACTATATACACGGACCACAAGAGTTTAAAGTATCTGATGGATCAGCCCAACCTGAATATGCGCCAGAGGAGATGGTTGGATGTGGTAAAGGATTACGATTGTGAGATCATGTACCACCCGGGCAAAGCTAATGTTGTAGCTGATGCGCTGAGCCGTAGGGCGCAGAGTGCCCCGATTCGAGACACTTGTATGCGATTGACAGTGATGACTCCGGTGTTGGGCACCATTCGGGAGGCCCAGGCAGAGGCCGTGAGACCGGAGAACCGCAAGAGAGAGCGGGTGATTGGGCAGGTACCTGAGTTCGTTACCGATAGTCGTGGGCTTATGACCTTTCAGGGTCGGATTTGGGTGCCGTATGCAGGCGGGACGCGCACCACTTTGATGGAGGAGGCGCACCGATCGAGGCTCTCGATCCATCCCGGGGCCACTAAGATGTATTTGGACCTGAAAAGGGGCTATTGGTGGCCCTGTATGAAGAGGGATGTAGCATGGTTTGTTGAGAGGTGCTTGACCTGTCGCAGGGTTAAGGCCGAGCACCAGCGTCTGCATGGCAAGTTGCAGCCACTTGAGGTTCCCCAATGGAAGTGGGAATAGATTTCTATGGATTTCATCACCAAATTGCCGAGGACCGCGAGGGTTGTCGATGCAATTTGGGTGATCGTCGACCGGCTGACGAAGAGCGCGCATTTTCTTGCTATCAGTGAGAGTTTTTCTGCTGAGAGGTTGGCAGAGTTGTATGTGAGGGAAGTGGTATCACGGCATGGAGTGCCGATCTCGATTGTGTTAGATCGGGATGTACGTTTCACTTCCAGGTTCTGGAAGAAGTTCCACGAGGAGTTGGGCACGAGGCTGCATTTCAGTACCGCTTACCACCCCCAGACGGACGGACAGAGTGAGCGGACGATTTAGACGCTCGAGGACATGCTCCGAGCATGTGTGTTGGACTTCGGGGGAAGTTGGGACACGTATCTGCCATTGGCTGAGTTTTCTTATAACAACAGCCACCATTCGAGTATTGGCATGCCTCCCTTCGAGTTGTTGTACGGGAGAAGATGTCGGACTCCCATTTGCTGGGGAGAGGTAGGGCAGCGCGTGATGGGCAGCACTGAGATATTGCTTCAGACGACCGAGCAGATACAGCTGGTTAGACAGAGGTTGTCGACGGCTCAGAGTCGTCAGAAGAGTTATGCGGATAGGCGACGATCCGAGCTTGAGTTCCAGGTGAGGGACTTCGTACTCCTGAAAGTGTCTCCTTGGAAAGGAGTGATCCGATTCAGGCAGAGGGCAAGCTGGGGCCTCGGTACATCGGTCCGTTCAGGGTGATCGCGAGGGTAGGCAGGGTAGCATATCGGTTGGAGCTACCTGCGGAGTTGAGCCAGATTCATGATACCTTCCACGAGTCTCAGTTGAGGAAGTGTATAGCCGACGAGTCAGCGGTGGTACCGCTGGAGGATATTCAGGTGGATGCGAGCCTGAATTATGCTGAGAGGCCCATCGCGATCCGGGATCGGAAGATCAAGGTTCTGAGAAACAAGGAGGTGTCCCTGGTGCAGGTCCAGTGG